TATTTGATAAACTTCTATATAAATGATTTTCTAATAACGATTTCAATTTTATTTTATTATTTAAATGGAGTGATCTAATTTTGCTTTTTTTCTTTTCGTTTTTGATTTTTATAAGCTACAAAATATTCAAGAATAGATATAGTTCAAATATATTTATAAGAAATAATCCATCAATATTTTTAAAAGTAAATATTTGAATAGTAAAATAAGATTAAAAATAAAAAAATTACCAAATTCAAATAGGATTAAGAAAAACTAATAATTTCAAAAGATATGATAAATTTTGATTATAAATAAAAAAACAGAAAAATTAAGAAATAAATGATATACTTCTCGATCAATGGTTTTGCAGTAACATTCTTACTTTGATTTTATTTATGTCAATGGGTGATTTAATTTTGTTCATCATCTAATTTTGTTCACCATAATTAAATATTTTAGTTTCTATATATTTATCAAAGATTAAATCACAAACCCGCGTATATGCGAGTTCTTCATCTAGTTTTTATTATAATTTTGTTGTTTATTCCCAATTTTCCAAAGTTAAAACGCAAATAAAATTAGCGAGTTATATGATTTTTTTTTATAACATTATAACCTAAACATTATTACAAAGTCGAGAACAAAGGCAAACAAAAACAAAGTTACGGAATCGTAAACCGAGACTAAACCGGAGAGTGACCTAACTGGGTGTTCACTTCCGAGCTTTATATAACATTGTCGTGGCTCATACGTAACCCTCAATTACTTACACACGACTAAATTAGCATATCTCAATTTTTACAAATACGATACAAAAAGATTCTGATATAAACCGATCTAAAGCTCATCTAGGTTCGAAGAAACTCTCAGAGATGTTGTTACTCCTCGAACCCGAAGATTGAGACTGATCATGCTCAGTCACGGGAGACATCATCTTTCTCAACTCTACTACACTCCCTGGATTCAGAAACGGCGGTTGCGTCGGCGTTTGAATCTCTAGATTCCCTTTCATCATTTTCACAACCGCAGACATCGCAGGCCGCTGATCAAAAGCCGCCTGAACGCAGAGTAGCCCGATCTGAAGCAACCGTGACGCTTCAATCTTGTTGAAGTTATCTCCCAAAACTGGATCCACTACTTCAGCCAGATTTCTTGTTCCGTAGAGAGTCCATACCTAAATTTTGTTTTCGAGATTCAAGAAATGGGTTTTGAGCTAAAATCAATCCTTCAAGGAAAAGCTAAGTACTTTTTAGAGTAGAGAGTTACTGTTTGAAGGATCGAACTAGCGTCTTGTGCGAAGGCATTGTTACGTCTTCCGGTTATAACTTCAATCATAAGAACACCGTAACTGTAAACGTCTGCTTTCTCAGTCAGTTTTCCTCGTACCACGTATTCGGGAGCCATGTAGCCTCTGTTCCCAAAGTGAAAAACATCAAACTTAGCTTTAGTTTTTTTCCTTCGCGAAAATTGTAATCAAAGTCGCAAAAAGATCAGTTTGGAGATTTTACAGTGTACCGGCAATGGCGGTGCTGATGTGACTCTTGTCCTCAGGGAACAATCTAGCCAATCCAAAATCAGCGATTTTCGGAGTAAAATCATGTTCCAAAAGTATATTGCTCAGCTTAATGTCTCTATGTATGATTCTAAGATTCGACTCCTCGTGAAGATACGCCATTCCTTCTGCTGTGCCAAGTAAAATCTTGAACCTTTTCGCCCAATTTAACGGTTGGACATCTTTTCTTACTGAACCAAAAACGCAGTTAAGCCAGTCAATATAACCCCGTCGGGACAAGGTAACCGCAAAAAAAAGTTACGGATGATATAAAACAAACCGAAAAGATAGTCGTGGAGACTTTGATTCGCAATGTATTCATAGACCAGAAGACTCTCGGGTCCAGTTATGCTGCATCCTAGGAGCTTCACAAGGTTCCTGTGCTCGATTTGGCTTATTAGATTGACCTCGTT